TAATGAGCAGTTGAGGAGGAGAGCTGCCCACCTTGAGGGCCTCATAGTAGTGGAAATTGAGTTTCTTATTTACCGCTATGTCCTCTCGAACAGCCGGTAGGAGTACCTAGCACGGAAATGCGATGCACAATGCAAGTGTGGTGACACCATACCAAATTAAGGTATCTCTGAGCTTGCTTTGGGCTGAGACTAGAGACGAATATCTTAGTGGCCTCTCGAGTAGCAGCAGGAGTCCATTCGACAGGATTCGTTATGAACAATACCTACACGCCCACGTCCCATTCAAGAGGATACCAAAGGACTACCTCCTCCCAGTTGATGAGGCTCGGGATGATCTTGAAAGCCTTGGGTATCTTACCAGACTTATACGTACTCAGCCATTTACCAATATCTGAGTACCTGACCAAGACAAGGCTCTAACATGGGGAACACCATGTGGTTCGTTCTTACACTCTCACAACCTGTGGGTTAATGGCCTCACTGGCATCCTCTTCATTTGACTGGACCTTCGACACTCCACCACCCGAGCCAGCCTCTCGTTCTCGCAGCTGGGCATACCAATCTCCCGCGAATAAGCACAGCATTGATAGATACTACCTTCTGTTCTATGATGTCAGCAAGCGTCAGTCTCTTGGGCTCCTCATTGGTCGTTCTGAACTGAGCCTGGGCGGCCTCATCTGCTTCTGTCACTTCAGCTCCAATTCGAACCTAATACGACCGAGTCGCCACGACAATGCCTCTCATCCCCCTACACGGCCTTCAGCATCAACTTCAACTTCACCCTCTTCGACCTCGGGGGTCTGAATGAAAGCGGGTAATGACTAATGCATGGATATTCCTGTTGCTACTCTAGCATCGCCATCCTCTGCCTCCTCCAATTGCTGTTGCTGTGCAGCCTTGAGAATACGTTCAGTGATCTTCGACGGGACCGCCTCCATACCCTGTATGCATCCTTGCCTTACCCTGCCCAACCCTGATCCCCTCTCTCACCTCGTCTGGTCCACCACTGGCTCTATGACGGCCCTTCTTCTCGCGGGGGACCTTCGATACGCCTGCCTCTGCATCAGCCTGATCACCCACAGATCCCAAGAGTTAATCGATTACTCCGTTATTAAACTATGCCTCCCAGCTGATGGTAGTACCTTTAGATCGTCGAGAAGAGGCCCGCTACGGAGCTTCTTAGTGTCAGCGGCCGAGGATCGTGGGGCGCGGGGCATTGAATGATCAGTTAAGCGATGCCAAACAAGGACAGCGCGATGAACGATAGTAACTCAGCCCAACTCAGACGATTTAGCGAGGGGATAAACGGTGAGAACAGACGCTTTTCGGGATTTTCTTCTCAAGTGTGTGTTGACGTGTGTTAACGTCTTGCCGACTTGCACTCTTGAGTTTCCTCACCGGTTGTCAACAGTTCGGAGCTACAATCATTTCCAACCATATAATGTCGTTCATAAGTGGTCTACTGATAGTTGTCGCCTGCGAGGCTGGCCCCCTCACGAGGAACTCTATCACTATACCCATCGTAGATGGGCATGTGGTTGTCGACATAAACGGTCAACGTCGGCATCTTCTACTTGATACTGGTTCGAATCATCTGCGTGTGATGGACGGCGAGTGGTATGAGAGTAAATATGGTAAAAGCTCTTGTCTGGAAGCCGACCGAGCATGTTTTGATTGCCCGGGAAGCGCCCCTTGTGATTTCGACAATGACCCGGCGGTGATGACATCCTATTCCCTCGACGGCTCGACCATCAAAAGTCTCACTCGCTATGGCTCCTTGACATTGAATGGGCATCGATTCGAGGGTTTTCCCTTTCACGTATGTAGAGAGTATTCGCGCACATTGAAACCCCCACCAAAGGGTTATTTCGGGCTGGGCGGCCCTTCTCTTCAAAGGGCCCAGGGGCATCCTGGTGAAGCAAAGAATCTACTTGACGCTCTCGTTTATGCTAACGCTATCTCTACGCCGATTTACTCTGTTCGAACACACTTGCAGAACGGTTCCAGACATATCTCCGGGGAGTTGATACTTGGTGAAGAAGTCGGAAGTTCTACAGGTGAAAGACAGAGGGATGTCGGTTGGTTCAACTTCGCACCCCGGGCAGTTCATAGTCAGTCGCTTCCTAGCGTGCAGGTCGACTATGTGGGGTTGTCTAGCACACAAGGAAAGCCATTGAATGTTGAGGAATATTCGTATCACTACCATAAACCAGTAACGACTCCCCTCGACACGGGATCAGATGCCGTATTCCTTCCGCTCCCAACAATACTCGATGATATGGTTCAATTTTTGAGGTCGAATCTTAGAGAGAAAGGATATGCAGAGGATGAGGTCTCCAACAAGTATCTCCTGAAGGGCGGTAAACTTGCCATTTATAAGTCTATTATAGACTCTTTGCCCATCATAAGCATGCGCATGAGAGATCGCGAGAGAAGTACCATGCTACAGCTCCATCCGAGACAGTACTGTAGAGATACAGCACTGCCTAATTCATGCCAAGTCGCCGTAAGCTCTGCTGCTGTCTCGTCCTTGGGAACTCCGTTTTTCTTGACATATACCACACAGTTCGACTTCATACGAAACGGACTACGTTTGTTCAGAAATTGACGGATTGAAAGACCATGGTAGTTACCTTAATGCTGTGATGTTTTTGATGGTTATCTTAATGCTGTGATGTTTTTGATGGTTATCTTAATGCTGTGATGTTTTTGGAGCCCGCGTGTGATGCGTATTAGTCCTATCACAACAATGAACATTCCCCTGGAGCTGTTGAACAACCCGGGGAACGTTCGTGGGAGCACACCATCAACGTGAATGAGATCTTTAGTGCTCTATACACCCCTCCACATATTCTTAGCATAACCGGTTTTTCGACTCGTGCACAGCCACCACAACGAGTATCATCTTGTGGCTCAGGGAGGTATGTGCTTTACCTGATATGACCTCCAAGTTTCAGGGCCTAACCCTTCGTAGCTAGTGAGAAGTCGAAGACCGCTAAAACATTTTCTCCACATATTCTTAGCATACACGTGTTAAAATTGCGCCTCAAAATACCAACTTTTACTCGGGGAGTGTATCTATAACTCCGCTCCTGATCTAATGCTATACATCAACAGAAAGAGAATCGTTCATAATGGTATCGCTCCATGTTTCACTGGGGGAGATTCTCCCCAATTCCGAACCACACGAGGAAACTCCCGAGTATAACACGAAACAGGGATCTAGAGAAGCATTCGTTTAGCAATACTGGCTTGCATCTCTCTGAGCCCGGTCGCTTGTCGCGCGTACACGTCATCAACCATCCTTGTCGAGATCCATCTGCCATGATCTGCCACTAGAACGGAGTCCATGCCCGACGATTTCATCAGAGCCGCGCCGGTTCGCCTCATGCTATGTGTAGTACACTTGGAGTCTTCATCAGGATCACTAACCATGCTGAGTAGCTCCTCGACGTCATCAGAGAGTTGCTTGTAAGTCGCATGAAACAGCTTGTCGTTCGTATTGGTACGTCCCGATACTATAGAT